TCCTACGCCTCTACCATGCCACCCAACCACAACACCCACCCTAGCCTCAATGTACGACGCTGCCACCTCCGAATGCTTCTCATTTGTGCGGGCAATGAAGATGTCCCAAAACACCGACCACCATTCGAACAAAAACCCTCCCGGTGCATCGATCGCTGAACAACACACCCCATCCCCCATCCCCGTATCGTCAGTCCCATGCCCCACCACCCAACGTCACCTTCCCCCCTCACCTTCACCTTCACCTTCACCGTCACATCACCACCCACAACATGACCTACTTAGCCTTCACGTTGCTCTTCGTCCACCTCTATCCATCATATACGCCATGCGTCCACTACCTTCCCACAATCGCATGCAATCCCGGCACAACGACACCCACCCATCCACCCTTTCCCTCATCGCGCATCACAGCAACACCACCCACACTCACATCTTGCACCACTCCAAATCTCTCACACCCTTCACTTGCTCTCAACTCAACCTCAAACACGCCTTCACTTCAACTTCTTCACAAAACCACGTCACCCACCCATCCCAACATCCTCGCCTTCATTGTCCCTCCCCCATCATACCACAAACTCAACACCAACGTACCAACGGGGTCGGACGACACTTTGCCCTCGTTCAGAAACGCTTTCGCCGATGCTTGCAGATTCCTCTTTATCAGATAGTCGTATATGTACACATCCAGCCTGCACATCAAACCCACATCACACTCCACCGTTACAAACCTCCCCTGCATCACAGCCCAGTCTGGAGGCCCGACGGTCTCGCACCAAGACTGCATTCGACCCTCCCCAACCAACTTCACGACATGCCTTCCTCACACACTACCGAGCCCATTTCGTGGCTTGTTCCAATCAGGTGCTCGTCTGCTGTTTCTTCAACAGCACAGCCTCCATTTTCGTCACGCAGTATGCTACCAACTTCCTCACTGCAGCTGCTCTCAAAGGCACGAAACTGCTTGCGGCCACTTTCCGAGCCCCGTGTCGGATCCATAGACTGTCAAACGATAGATATTTGCGTTTGCGCTATCATGCTGGCTTCCACCCACAGAAGTTCCTCCACAGGAACCTTGCACCAAACTCAAAGCACACTAGAATTCCAACTACATCTCCTACAGACGAAAGGCTCAAGCTGATAAAAATACTTGACCAGCTTTAACCTCCTTTTGTATCGCTAGGCTACCACTAGTAGCATGATTCGCCTCAGCTCTTCTAGCCTCTCATTCATTTTAGTACAGTCTGAATTATTTGTTTATGCTATTTGCTCCGAATCCAGTGTCGAACCAGTGCCCTACGCCAGCACACCCTACTAAAAGCCAGCTCGTCCAATACTGCGAGGATTTTTCCGCATTCTTCAAACGCACATGACGCTGTTAAAAACACTTAACCCAAAGACGACGACTTTTGCAGCAAAACTTCGGGACTGAAAACCCTTACATCTTGTCGGCCTCCCAGTTGCTCTGAGCCATAGTGTTGCGCGTAGCTGCAACGGGTTCTCACGCCTCCCCTCCCCCCCTGGTCCCCTTGCTGCCTTTCCGCCGTCGTTCCTAGCGGCAATCTTCTCCTTCCGCTATCTCCTGAGCAAACTTGGTGTGCGCTTAACTTCCTCTCTCCGGAGATCCTGTGGCCGTACGCGCGTTTGCCATGAGAGGGCCTTTTCGGCAAGTTCCATTCGAATGCCAGGGTTTGCTTCGCACTATTCTCTAAGCAGTGTGCCCCTCTTCGGGCAGGTTTCATGAAATGCGATGCAGCGTTACACGGTATCCTGCAGTAGTGTCAGGGTTTCATCACCAACAGAGCGTCTCGTCGTCATCGTCGTCATCGTCGTCATCGTCGTCGTCGTCGTTGTCGTCGTCAACATTGTCGTCAGCGTCGTTAGCGTCGTCAGCGTCGTCAGCGTCGTCAGCGTCTGGCTTCTCCGTCGTGGCCCTCGTAGAAGTTCGTCAGTTCGTTAGCGTCGGGTCTCTCAGCACTGCCTGCCCAGTTCCGTCCTGGTCGCGTTCATTTCGGCGTCGTCACCCTTCCGGGGCCAGTGTTCGCTGTGGGGCCGTGGGATAATGCGGAACTTCGGTGGATTCGAGGTGTCGTTTCGCAGTGTGTGGATTTGGGCCTCATGGCCGTGGATGGTCCGAAGACCGTGCCATCGCGGCATCTAGGTGGAAGAAAATCCACGTGGATTAGTTGCTTGATTTCTTCGTTATCTGCACGTGTACGCACTTTCGTAAAGAGCAAATTTGTACTCGTATCAGTGAATTGAAAACTATGAATTTATTTGTATGTTTTTAACAACTCTCAGCAAATTATTTTCTTGCGAGGGCTGTTTGATTGCTTTGCTTCAATAGTTCAGATTTAGTTTTTGACATATTGATAAAGTAATTTTAGTAGGCATAAAAACTTTAAGAAATTTAGAAACCTTTTTTTACAAGATTAATGCAAAAAAATAATTGTGTGTTTTATTAATTTTGATTGTATGTTTGGATTTCAGTGAACCATTATGTCTACTTTCTGAAATTGCTTAAATTGGAATATATCATGCCTCTAATATGACTCCACTAGAAGTTTAGAAGAACAAATTATTTGGCAAAAGAAGAGATGGTGTGTTGTAGTTTTGTAATAACATATTATCATAAACTATAACCCAAATATTAGTGAAATATTGTTGTAATTGTCATCTATTGCTTGATATAAAAAAAAATCTTAAAAAAGAAAATAAATGTATGCTCAAACATTTATCATTATGGATATTTTTATAAAATTAAGAAATAATCTAAATAAAATATAGAAGGTACTTAAGAAAAATAATTATAATACCTGGTCTTTCCATGAAATTGATTTGATAATATGTAATGAGAAACAATTTAATTAGACAAAAAAGTTATTAAACAAGTTATGTTTTGTGTTTTAAAATTTAGCCAATTTTTTCTTTCTTTTATTAATTATAATACATACTTTTTGCTTTAAATTCGCTCTAGTTTTCTAAAAATTCAAACATCTTCAAATACCAATTGTAATTTTAGAATGATAATTTCCTTTCATACTAATTGTTTTTTATTTTTTGTGCCTTGTAGACAATCTTTCCAATGGTTATTAATATCAATAATATTTTTATCTTATATCTACAAATGTATGCTTTTTGGATTTGATAATATTACAAAGTGTTTTTAAGAACTATTTTGTGAGAGTATGTGTGTGTGTATATATATATATATATATACATGTATAATTTAACCTTATTTTGTTTACAAAAATCATCTAAACTATTTAAAATAATTATAAAATATTCTTTAAATTTCAACTAGCTAACCAATGTTCTTTAATAATGCATACATCATTTAAATAAGTGTCATATGTGCTTTAAATAACTAACCAAATATATTAGAGTACTAAATACTTATTTTTCTTGTAGAACTATTTTAAAAATCTATAGTTGCTATGAAGATTTTTATAATTATATTCTAGTAAATGTAATCTCTTTAAAATGTTTCAAAGAATTATTAAAAATACATGATAAATAATAAATAATAAATAATAATATTAACAATAAATAAATATACACATATATATATATATATATATATATGTGCATGCAATTTACTGTCTAACAAAATTTTAGTTACATTTAAATATACCTAATACACGATCATAATTGCGTCCAAAGCTCAAAGTAATTAAAATAGCCACAAAATTATACAAAATTATACAAAAATATACAAATATACACACAAAATAACACACTACAACACCTAAAACAAATTACTATGCAATCTCTCTTCTTTTCCCCTCTTTTAAAAAAAAGAAATTATAATAATTTCAAAGACTAATTATGATCAAACATCCCAATCACCAATGAACATCCCTAAACATCTCAAACCTTACTTTCCATTATATCAAATTCTCCTAGTATAAAAAATGCTATTCTTTTTCACTCACAATCTACCTAAGTTTCAAGGAAGAATAGAAACGAATGCGCACACACACACACATGCTCGGTGTTGTAAAGAGAGAATCTTACAAGGCTAGACAGAGGGGCACTGGTAGCAGCACAGAAAGCTCTAGAAGGACAAGAAGAGAGCCTTGTTAAGCATGCACAGATGACTTTTTCCTAACACTATTTCACAAGGAAAAGCATTTGTGTCTGAACAGTGATTGGCAATAGGGAATGTAGCATTACGGCTGAATTAAATTGTCGCAGTATGAACAGTTCAGACGGTCACTCACTTAGTTTTTCATCATTTTCGGTGATTCTTTGCACTGGAGGAAGAAGTCTACGATGTCCTATTAAGTCTGCCGGGACACAATCTATCTCAGAAAGATTGTGATCCTGACTTGTGAACTCGTTCCTCTCGGTGTTCGGTCCCACATTTGCAGCAACTTTCTGGACGCTGACCGTTGGAAATAATCAGCTGGCAAAGAGAGCTTGTCATTCATGGACAATCCGTCAAGGATATTGTTCGGAGATTTCTCGCATCCAAACCAAAATAACGTGACCTCTTACATGTTTTGGTAGACTATAATAATAGTTGAAGAACTCGTTAACTCGGTTATCTAGTTAACTTCTGTTGCAGAACGGAAAAATCAGTTCAAATTGAATTAGTATACAATATCTTTCTTCCAGTAGGATCCAGCTCATCCTTAATACATCTAGCAGTGATTATGAAAGCAATGTGCTGTGGTTTCTGTTCTGGTAAGTGCATTTTACCTTAAGAACTTACACGCGTAACTTAGATTTTGATTACTCAGCGAAGAAACTAAAGTCTTTTTTTGATGTGGTCGCTATTAGATGCCGATGTGCTTATTAAATATCTTGCGAAACAAGTAGAGATTGGTAATTGAGAGACACAAGTTCAGAGGTTTGCTGAATTGAGCTCATTGAAGGCGAACTTCCGTTGCTTACTGGCAATCTTGATCTGTATACTTCGCTTCTTTTTTTCTTTCTTTTTGACTTTGCTTCGCTTTTTGTATCAACCAGGAAACATTATCACCAAGTTCGGCATCCTTGAATAGGTTATATGTCGTTTTCTTTACCTAGACTGTGAAAATTCTGTGATATTGGTTCCCACAGGTGTTATTTTTAGCCACTTCAGGTCTGTCCAGTTGGAAATCACAACTGTAACCTAGTAAAATTGCGTATTTGAGCTTATGAACAACGTTTTACTGCTCAAAATACAAAGAGGTATATGGATAGAACCGTGGAGCTTTAGTTTTCGCCATCATTTTCAGGCATAAAAGCTGCAGGAGGTATTATTGCATCATTCTCTAAAATTTGCAGAAGTTACGCGCAACCAAGGAGAAAGAAGAAAGAACGAGACTTGACACAGAAGCTATAGAGCTGTAAAGCGTTGATCAAAGAAGCTCAGAAGGAGCTGGATAAGAGGTATGCAGCAACGGTTGCTGAACGGATAGTCTACAATTCCCTACCTTATTGTTTCAGACTCGTTTCTTTTTAACCATGAACCTTAATAGCTTGACTTATTCTTTTCTGTCCCTGTCACTTGGAATATGGACAATGGGTCTTTCAGTTTATAAGTGATGGCCGCTAATATTCTGAAATCGTTTGACAAAGTCAAACCTAAGATAATAAGTTTACTGCATTTTTCTTCCTACTTCTACCAGGTGAAACGAGATGGAGAAAGTGGTTAAGGGCTTAAAACTTGAGGAAGAGACATTTAGTGATCGAATGAGAGCTGAGGAGAATGGTTTGATCGTGAGAAAGAAGAGGTGGGTCGTAGAGTTGGGACTGTTGCTAATGCTACTTCTTGAGCCTCAATCGTAGGAATGATATTAGGTGCTGCTAGGGATGTTTGTTGCGTTTTGACTTTTGGATTCCCGTGCATGCACAACCTGATATTTTTTTTGGTTGGCTTTGGCGGCCATGAGGGAATGTTTAACGTTGACGTAGCACTTTGAACCTGCTCAAGCTTTATTTAGATTGTATGACTGGAGATAGTTAGAAATGTCCTGTAGATCACTTATTCATATGGCGGTTGGGTCGACGGTTGACTGCGTATATGGAGAAACTCAGAGCGGATGTAATGATGAAGAATGAGACGATAGTGTTCTTGCCGAAGTAATGAAGTCACATTTAGGAAGTCCCTTCCATTAATTACTGCTCAATCTTTAACACTTATTTTTCCTACTGGAGGGAATTGTTTGCGTGGCCATCTTGAACATACCGTTTGTTTATTTAGCTTTAAGACATTTGTGTTCTGTGCTATCACATGCATAGTCCTTCCCCCTTCAATGTACATCAAGCTTGCGGTAGCTAAATGAGGGGTATCGGCAATTTGTCACCATCACGCAATTGGCGATATTGTGTGGCCTCCATACATGGATTAGAGCAAATATGCTGTGATCGAAGACACATTGCAAAAATATGCAGTGTCAGTGATGTTTTTTTTCCACTGAACAGCATTGCTCCCTGCCTACACGAGATTTTGAGGCCCATATGCAGGAGTTATTCTCATGCAACTCACTATTAAGAACAAGAGTGGCAGACACAAAGAGAGTGCTGCTGCAAAGTTGGGCAGTAACAAATGAACAAACATTATGCAGTTCATTCAAGAAAAAAACAGGGAAGCAGGCTAAAGGAGCATATCTGTATCACCCCTTAGCGAAGGGAGCTAGAATTGCTACCAATTCTATGAGCTCTACATTCTGTTCAAACGCATGTGGAATGCTTTGAGATGCAAGCTAAACACGTTCAGGATAGGGCAAATATCTCACATTCATAGAGCAATCTACTGCTCACCATTGCAACATATGCTACTATAAGATTTCAAAAAATCATGTCTAATATATATTAAGTTCAATTATGAAAAAAGAGCAGTAAGAGTATAACAATTCAATTCTTTTCACACCGAGACAACTATCATAGTTTTGGCTTAGACCATCGGTGATAGGACAGGCTACCTTACCTCAGAAGTTGTATCCATATTCAACTTCTGCTCCTGTTAAAGATCCTGCCCATCATATGAAATGCAGGCTCGCCTTTCCAAATTGAAACGCTTCATAAGTGCCGTGGAATGCTCACAGGATCTTTAAGCTTACAATGAACAGCTACGAATCACTACAGTATCCTGGTGCAATCAGAACTGCAATTTTAGACAGAGAATATACCATATGTTACATTATGAGACAACTCCACTTTGTGAGATTCAACTACCTAGAAAGAATAACCTTGGTCTATTGTATCAAGCAGCTAAACTTCTCCGACCAAAACTTGCCAAATTACTACCTGAAAACTCTCTATACTGCAAAAAACGAGGATTTCTAAGTATGATTTTGAAAGAGCTAGCATTGTTTATGAATTTGACTGCATGCAGTACAAAACATAAAATGAAAGGAAGAATAATTTACTTATTGATTACTTCAACGAAAAAGTTAAAGAAAAGATCTTGTAGGAGTGGAAAATTACAAGGACACTGCCGTATATGAATTAATTAGTCCAAGCATCACATCAAATAATACACCAAGCCAATTTCAACAGGTAACAACGGTGTGGCTCTCCTAGGAATGCCACCTCTAATTAGACGGTGAATATCTTCGACCATTAAACTGGAGCATTGAGCATTGAAAGTGAGAGAGGACGCACAAAAGGCAAAAAGTACCTGATGCTGTTCAAACTTCTCAGATCACATCACTAAAACCGTCGAATGGACTCAATGTTTTGCAAAATTGGATACAATCTGGAAGAATTGAATGGGACTCATGCACCGGATGTAATTTCTGCTTGCCCCCATCGTGGGCTTCCTCTGCTCAAAGACAAACAATCCAAATAAAAGAACTTTTGATGCTCCTACTTGAGCTTCTTCTCCTCCTGCCTTCTGCGTCTCATCCTGGTGTAAAGAACGTCTATGAGCGTCTCTGGAGGCACTGGGTCAATCTCCAGAAACCCCTTGCGATGCTTTTTAATCTCTTCCACACTCAGAAACGACGTCACAGTCTTCCCATCCCTGGTCACCACCAAGTTTTTCCCATACTTCTGAATCACTTGCTGTGAACTTGACTTATGTTTCTTGGAGAGAGTGTGGATGGCTGACCACCTGAGCTGATAATTCACAATTGCTTTTACTTTGAGGAAATTGTCACATGATGAGTAATAGTTCAGTAGTCCGATGCTGACTCTACGATACCAAGTGATGATACGGTGATCTTCTTGACCCAGCACAGAGTCGTTCGGCGTTGGTCTCTTCTGCTTTGGAGTTATAAATCCACGTGAGTGCAGCAGGGCGTATATCTCGTCGATGGGGGCTTCGATTCTCATCGAGTAATCAGATTCTCGACCTTTCGACTTGCGAGGATCACGAAACTTTGTAGAAGATTCAGTGTCCGACTCTAGGTCTTCACATTCTGCGTTATCCAGGTCTTCAGGTTCTATGTCTGAGTCATCTTCCCATTCAGAGTTTCCCAATTCAGAGCCACTTCCAATATCAGAACCTTGAGCCGTATCAAACTCTTTGCTCTCTTCGGGAATCTGACCCCTACGAGCTGACAAAGATGTGAACATACGGTCTTGAAGAGGAAGAACTGCCTTCAAGATTGAAACTAATTCTTGGTGCCTTGCTGAGGCAAGAAGCGACGGATAACATGAGAAGGATTCCACTGTGTATCTACTCACAATCGTAGAATTCGGCGCCATTGTCAAGTGTTTCCGAGACACGCCGCTGCATTCACCGAAATGTTTACGAAGTGAACAACTGATTCATGGGGGAAAGTAGATACACACCAATTTCCAAAGATGCGCCTCATGCTTCACATGGATTATTGGCAGCAATAACGATAAACAATGATTTACTAAGAGATTCTATGCCACTCCATCCAACGAACACTAAAGATTGCAGTAAAACAACCAAGGTGTGACGTCCACATTAAGCTTCAATGTCCTACTTCCGTGCCAAGTGCAGGTAAATACGCTATCGTAGCAAATTTCATAATTAGTCAAGACAAAGATGAAGGCCAAACCTAGAAAATGATAGATGGTTTTTTATCTTCGCCAGTTTTTTTAGGGCCCAATTAGAAGGACAAGTGTATTCTCCATTGACCTACATTCCCACGCACACATCGGTTACACTCATACAGAGAATCGACGATGACAGGTGATTGTATTACAAGCTTCTATGAATTTCGCGAGTCATAACTCGCACCGTCTAGAGAGGAGACTGTATATGAGAAACAAGTCCTGTGTAAAACACGCCCGCAGGAAATCTGACAGTGGAGAAGGAAGATGACTGAGAAAAAATGCATTCAAAAAAATTCAATTCAGACAGCAAAACTACAAATCTAAGTTCCCCTCTCCGCAATCAAACATGGCCTATGCGAACCCTAATAAGCATGGGGTTTGATTATAAGATAGGAAATTTGTTACAACCAGAGAGAATGAATCAAAAACACGACAATCTACAATAAGAGATTCCGCATACACCACGGGAGAGCAGAGCCACGGTCTTTGAAAGCAGTGCCACCGTCGACGTTCTCATGGCTGGTCCTTCCACTTCGTGTACTCCTAACCGCACTTCATCAATGCATCAAGTGAATCGCTCTCAAATGCTCAAGCTCCCATTTGGATGGAATACAATCTTTGCACAGTTGGGGGAGATTTCAGCCCGGAAGGCTTTGGTGGTATCAAGGTCCTGGAGCTTTAGAGGTCACCTGACGACGTCCGCGGCGCTAGGTCATTACATCGAGACATCTTGAGACTGCAATCGGTTGATTTCGACGATCCAGACGTCTGAGAGGATGCTCCATAGCTGGAACGAACATTCTCTGTGATTGAACCAATGTTGGCGCACATTTTAATGAATTCACCTTTGTGAACGGCACGTTCAACACTCACTAGGGGGCGTCAAGGATGTAAAAAAGAGAAATGGCAATTGATAAAAGTTGGGAGTTCCTCAGTGCGTGGATGAGGGACGAAAAATGAAAACATTTCACTGCTTTGATTGCCCGGTTACACTATTCTCAGAACATAATCCTCCAACCATTAAACATGCTTGACACCTACAATTATACGTTTTGTTTTCTTATGTTCGCTGCTGATTGCCACATGATGCAGTCGAAAAGAATCGACCTTTGTGGGGCTCTTGAGCAAAATCGATGAATTCGTTCCGAGGAAATGGGATTTTATTTCGAGTTTTTAATAATGGTCTGCTAACTTGTAAAGACAAATTATTTAGGGCTGTCGCCAAGCGAGATGTAGCTTAGACTTCAGAATCCTCCGTTGCAAAAAATCTACAAACCCACAGAATGATTAATTTAACTCCGGCGACAGAGGGGATTGTGGCTTTAGGCCATGACGGGAGGAGGGTTGAGTCACAGTCTATGCTTCCGTCCACGCTGGAACGGAGAAGCGAGATATCGACGACGACGGAGACGGAGAAGGGCTCTGCAGACAACGGAGCAATAACATCGTGAGAGTCGGCGATGAATCATATTTCCTTGGAGCCGCCCGTTGAGGCCATAATGTGGCAACGAGTGTGAAGGAAACCCTGGAGAATGCGTCTTGACGGGAAGACGCTCGGATGAGCAAGAGTACTCACGGACACAGAAATTCGAAATTGAGAACATCGACAGTCTAGGTGCGAGGCACAGTGGGAGCGAAGGCTTGGTGGTCGGTGGGGATGTAGGGGAGACAGAAAGTGGCAATCAGTCAATGCTGCTGTTTGCGTTACGATGGCTCAGAGCAACTGGGAGGCCGATAAGATGTACGTGCTTTTACTCAGAGTGTTTTGCCGGGCGTGTCCTTGTTCCAGTTTTGTTACTAAGCATGATGTCGTAAGGACTGGGAGGGTGCAGATGAGTTCACAGAGTGTTGAACGATCTGACTTTTGCTTAAGTATTGTTCTCTAGTGCAATAGCTTAAAATTAAGTTCGGATGGAGAGGAAGAGGGATGTGGTTCTTTAGCAGTGCATCAGCGGACACAAGATGAACGACTAGTTGTGGAAGTGTGAGCTTTTGAGGCTTTCTGTGTAGGTTTTTAGTTTCGTCTGGGAAAGAAAGAGAGAAAGAAAGAAACCGTTTAATCAATAGTTGTGTGAGGGAGGATTGCAGCAATATAAACTGACGATTTGTTAGATTATTCCTTGCAATGAGGATGATTGGATCTACGATTGAGTGAGTTGAGGCGCTTCTCTGTATCGAAGAGAACGTTTTAAGTGTACAGCGAGTAGTAAGGCGACTTTTAGCTCACAAAGTGTATGTCGCTTGTAGTGTCTTACGCGTATGCACGATTTCTCATCTTTTGAAGTCCTATGCTTGAATCGTGGTTGCACTCAGCCCATTTTAGTCCGGTCAATTATCATGAGTTTCGTTCCTGAATATGTTGTGTTTCGAGTTTGCATGTTTATCAGCCGCGAGGAATTAGCTAACTATCTGCATTTGTACACGGGCAATGTTCGTCATGTAGAAGCGTGTCCTGTTCACTATTTATGTTTCAGTGGAAGGAGCCGTGTTGTATATCGTGTTTACTCTAGCTTTGTGGGAATTTCGTTTGTACGCGGTTTTCTCCAAAAATTTGTATGCTTCAAATCGATCACTGAGATTCTTTGGTTTAGGATTTTGCTTTGTTCACATCTTTGATGATATGACTAACTGACAGCAGAGAGATGGAGGTTGTCTTGTAATCATGACGAAATGCAGCAATTAAAGGCTCCCGCTTTGAGACGCTGTTGAATATCCACACGCAAAGCTGGTTAGCTATAACATATGAAAAATGTCCCCATCAGACCTTCCGACTTGTAGAAAACCGTCCTTCACTGGAAAATTCTGAGCCGCTCGATCTCTTCACTTACATCAAATTCACCTCGGAACATATTCCTAACCAGGTTGCAACCAGCATGAACAGAATGTAGTTGGAATTCTAGTGTGCTTTGAGTTTGGTGCAAGGTTCCTGTGGAGGAACTTCTGTGGGTGGAAGCCAGCATGATAGCGCAAACGCAAATATCTATCGTTTGACAGTCTATGGATCCGACACGGGGCTCGGAAAGTGGCCGCAAGCAGTTTCGTGCCTTTGAGAGCAGCTGCAGTGAGGAAGTTGGTAGCATACTGCGTGACGAAAATGGAGGCTGTGCTGTTGAAGAAACAGCAGACGAGCACCTGATTGGAACAAGCCACGAAATGGGCTCGGTAGTGTGTGAGGAAGGCATGTCGTGAAGTTGGTTGGGGAGGGTCGAATGCAGTCTTGGTGCGAGACCGTCGGGCCTCCAGACTGGGCTGTGATGCAGGGGAGGTTTGTAACGGTGGAGTGTGATGTGGGTTTGATGTGCAGGCTGGATGTGTACATATACGACTATCTGATAAAGAGGAATCTGCAAGCATCGGCGAAAGCGTTTCTGAACGAGGGCAAAGTGTCGTCCGACCCCGTTGGTACGTTGGTGTTGAGTTTGTGGTATGATGGGGGAGGGACAATGAAGGCGAGGATGTTGGGATGGGTGGGTGACGTGGTTTTGTGAAGAAGTTGAAGTGAAGGCGTGTTTGAGGTTGAGTTGAGAGCAAGTGAAGGGTGTGAGAGATTTGGAGTGGTGCAAGATGTGAGTGTGGGTGGTGTTGCTGTGATGCGCGATGAGGGAAAGGGTGGATGGGTGGGTGTCGTTGTGCCGGGATTGCATGCGATTGTGGGAAGGTAGTGGACGCATGGCGTATATGATGGATAGAGGTGGACGAAGAGCAACGTGAAGGCTAAGTAGGTCATGTTGTGGGTGGTGATGTGACGGTGAAGGTGAAGGTGAAGGTGAGGGGGGAAGGTGACGTTGGGTGGTGGGGCATGGGACTGACGATACGGGGATGGGGGATGGGGTGTGTTGTTCAGCGATCGATGCACCGGGAGGGTTTTTGTTCGAATGGTGGTCGGTGTTTTGGGACATCTTCATTGCCCGCACAAATGAGAAGCATTCGGAGGTGGCAGCGTCGTACATTGAGGTGAGGGTGGGTGTTGTGGTTGGGTGGCATGGTAGAGGCGTAGGAGGAAGGCTTGCAAGCGTTGTTTGGGGTCGTTGTTGAGGGAGGGAGAGGCGGCAGGGTGTGGGGGGTGAGAGAGTGGTGAGGTAGGGAGCACGAGTGTTGGAGAGTGCAGGAAGGGATGCGTGGGATAGGGGTGGAAACGGAAACGTGGGTAGTGGCGATTTGGATAGGTGGCAGGTTGGGCAGGTGAGGTAGCGGGAGTGTGGAAAGACGCAGGTCCTTTTTGTGGTGATGTAGTGAGAGTGTGGAGGATGAGATGGAGTGGTCGGAGATGTGGTCACAGTGGCGGCAGGAGTGGGCGGTGTGTGCGCGGACAGTTGGTGATGTGGTGTGGTATGGTGTGGTCAGACGCAGCAGCTGAAAGCTCGCGAGCAGCAGCAGCAACAGCAGCAGCAAGCTCAGGCGCAGCAGCAACAAGCACAGCAGCAGGTCCAGCAACAGCAGGCTCAGCAGCAGCAGGCGCAGCAGGCACAGCAGGCGCAGGTGCAGCAACAGCAAGTGCAGCAACAGCAAGCTCAGCAGCAACACCAGCAGCAGCAAGCGCAAGCGCAACAGCAGCAGCAGTTGCAGCAGATGCAACTGCAGATCTTGCAACAGCGGCATGCACAACAACGGAGAGAAGCGAGCTCGCATCTGTTGAACGGGTCTGGGAACGGTCCGGGTTCAGAAGCGATGCTACGACAGCCGACGGCGAACGCGATGGCAACGAAGATATACGAAGAGCGACTGAAGCACCCGCATCAGAGGGATGCACTGGACGAGACGGCCATGAAGGTAGTAGTGATGGGAGTAGGATGCGCGTGTTGTTTGAGAGAGGAGAGGTGTGAGTGGATGTGGCTGGGAGGTTGCAGTGGCGATGATGGGTGTGGTAGATCCGGAGTGTGGCAGAGGGTGTTGAAGAGGGAGGAGTGTGGTGGGGAGCACTGGAAAAGGGAGGAGATGATGGGTGTTGACGGTGAATTGGTGGTGGATGTTGTGGGTGCAGAGGTATTGGTTCTGGGCGCACGAAGGGTTTTGGCGGTTTTGAGTGGCGCGCATTGTATCGGATGCAGTGGGCGGCGGGGGAACGTGGAAGTTGTGGAAATGGGATGGTGTGGTGTGGTGTGGTGTGATGTGGTGGGGTGGGGTGGTAGGAGTGGAGGTTGGATGGTTGATTGGGAGGTAGAGGATGGTTGGAAGTGGGAGTGGAGGTTGGGGTGCAGGTGCTGATGGTGGCGTTGGTTTTGAACAGGCCGTTACTTGCTGGGAATGCAACTACAGCGCTGCAACAGGTTCAAGTGCGATCGCAGATGTCAGGATCCTCGCAGGTGATAGTGAGGTGTCCGGGCGGTGGTGGTGGGGTGTTGGATTGTGGAGGTGTTTCAGATAGTAAGGGTTGCGGGATGCATAGTTGTTGTGGTGTGGTAGGCATAGCTGTGTAATGTGTTAGGAGGGGAGAAAAACAAAGGGCTGATGGGACGTGGTTGGTGATGCAGGATAACAAGCACGATGCGCTGAACCAGAGGTCTCCAGCTCCAGAGTCAGGGATGTTTGGAGTGCCAGGGGTGGGACACTCGAAACCGGCGTTGCTGAGTCCAGGTAGGTGGTGTTTTGAGGGCGGCGGTTGAAGGGTGGTGACGAGTTGTGTGGCGAGGGATGGGGAAGGGGCGGGGTTGGGTTTGGGGTGTGCGCGTGGGTGTGGTCGGCGGGAAGAATGATGACGTTGGTAATGGTTGTGAAGGGTCAGCGGGCGTGAATCAAGGCGTGAACCAAGGATCGTTGAAGGGGTGGCCACCGAGTGTAAGTTTCGAACCGATTGTGGTGTGGCATGGCGGAGTGAGTGAGTGAGTGAGTGAGTGGGTGAGTGAGTGAGTGAGGAGTGGGAGTGGGCGGGGGATGGGCAAATGTTTGTGATGTGGGCGTAGCGGGATGAGTAGTTGGATGAAGGCGGTAGTGTTGATCTGGGGATGCGAAGGGTAGTGGAGATTTTATGGATGGGGAACGCGAATGGAATGCAGGGTGGGGT